GAGAATACCAAGAGAAGCCAAAAGCAGGTATGGCTGAGGGTAACGCTGAGAAAGAGACCAGCTTGAGGCAACCGAAAATACTGAATGGGAGAGATTTCATTCAGTCAAGGTACAAGTTTGTGGTTCTCTGATGTTATGTAAATCAGCACTTTGTCATTTTTTTCTTTTATTGTTTATTGTGCAAAATTCTTATGAATGACACATACTGGATGTTTTAAATCTTTGATCATTTATTGTAAAAGAACACTGGGCTATAGTTAATGCCGTAATTTGGACTGAAAATACTCAAAGCTTATTATTTATTCATGTGATGTACCAATGGTTGGCATACATTTTTGGTTCTCTTTCTCAGTTTTGTTATACCATTAAACAACCAACACAAAAGGACTATAACTTGTTACAGCTGTAAGCAGTGATGTTAAATTTGCTATATTAAATTCAGATCTCAATACACCATAAACAGACAAATAACATTCGATTTTAAAGACATCTTTTTAAACCATTTTTCTTTTACACACAAGAGAAAACAGTCAATAGTACCAAATATGCATGCTGGATCTGTACGTATGCCAAAAAGGGGTAAAAGGCATAGAAGGGAGGAGGGGATGTTGTATAACCTTTTTTGAAAAATGATTTTTTAAAAGTTTTTTTTCAAGTTTTTTTTTTCTTTTTAAAGAAACTGATACTCCCCAAAGCTGTGCTGGGCGCTGTGATCAGATAAGCATTCGTCAGAAGACAACACAACTCCTCTGTAAGAACAAAACATATTAAAACCTGGCTGCAAATAAAACTTTGCAGAACTGCTTAAGGATGAGTAGTAGCAGTACTAGTGGTATTAATAATAGTAGTAGAGGAATAATAGACAGTTGCTATTTTAACAGTCCTGCAATGATAGTGAGTATAAACACTCAGAAAAAGGTAACAGTGGAGTTATTGTTCCTTTTTGTTACTGAGCCTGCACCTTTGTTAGAATCAAAATGTACCTTCATTTTCTGAGAGGTGATCTTAAAATCTGTTCCCTGGAGTTGTATAAGTTGATGCTGAGTTTTCTGAAGTAAACTCAACCAAACAGTCATTAAAAGTAAACTTGACAATATTTTGGTTTGTCCCATTAACCCTCATAACTGATGTCACTGTAACCCCAGGTGTACAGAAAGGCCTGTATTTTGGGTCTGTAACTGCACAAATACATTTCCTTCCATCGTGAACCCCTGACTGACAAAAAAGGGAATATTGCATGTAATTGTTTAGTGATACAAAAAGTGAGAACAATCCTGCAGAAATAATTTAATTATTTGTGAGGTTTAAAAAAAAAAAAGACATCTGGATGGTGGCCAGGGGAGGGGTTATAGCGAGACAAGACTCTTAAGTTAAGTCAAATGCTTGTAGTGCTAAAAAGTAAATTTCATGAGTTCGGTCTTTTTGGGATCAATTTCTTGTGTTCCATTAGGAACATTTGTTCTGGATTTCTGCAGGACACTTTCCAAATAAAGAAAGAAAAAAAAAACTTCAAACAAGACTGAACTTCATAAACTGGCAAACACAGATTACAATAATTTTGATTCATTTACAATCGGAAGATCAATGAACACGGACTAAAGATGGATCTTTCCTGATATGCCACAAAAACAAACAAACAAAAAGACACGTTTCAACTCACAAGAACTGAACTGATGGACAATCCAACAATCTCACCAAGCAGTATGGGATGGTCATTCACACTATGATTTTATTTTGTGAGTCGTGATACCATCATTTCAATGGACGTAAAAAATTGTTTCTATTACTGAAACATTCATTTTCCAATCATCAACAAACATCAAGAACTTAAATCTTTGGCGTTAATGTGTTTTGAAGGGTGGGGGGTGGGGGGGTGGGGGGCGGGAATGGTCAAACGGCAACTAAAACAACCCTTCAAACTGTAACTCCTTTAAGCTCTATATACATATAAAGATATATCATATATATGACATCTCTGTAAATGTGACTCTGGATGCATACGCAGACATCACCAGTAAATGTGTGCAATTTCAGTCAAGCCCTATGTGACAATCGAAACACATCTGAGAAAAGTTTCAAATGGCACCTTCTTCCCTCCCAAAGTAGCTCTACATTTGCCTGTAACAAATACTGTACATACACTACAAACCTCATCCCTGCTCACCAGAAAACAAAAGGGAACTATTTGCTTTTTAAATTTTTTCTTTAATAAATGTATCATTTTATATAAAGACATTCAACAGTGAGCAATGCAATACAGTTCAAGTAATAGACTTAGGGATGTTTGAGTTCCCTATGCAAAACACAAAAGTCTGGTAACAGGGAAAAAAACTAAACAAACAAAAACCTAGACCGTATGTTGACTGAGGGGAAAGAAAGACCATGACATCCATTTGGTGACGATGCTGCATCTAATTATGGGAACCGATGACGTACAAGACTGTTAAAGGTAGGACATTTTAAAAAGTCAATGTCATGGGCCTACATTAATTGATGAGTGACTGAAGTATCCATGCACAAAAACCCTGATTTAACCTGATTTTTCCCCCTCAAAACGCTGGCTTTGTTGTGTGGTAGCTTCTACGGTAAACTTGGAAAAAAGACCTGAGGGTTAATGACCAGAAACTATGATCGAAAAAGTCGTCCGAATTAAATGGGCCTGCATTCCCGATAGCACCTTGAGAGTTAGCAATAGTATGTGTTGATTTTAGATAAACGTGACTGAGGTGCTTCGGATTAAGAAAACACACAAAAACACACTGGACCAACCTCGCTGTACATTCAAGATTATACTGACAAACCCCATGAAAAAGCAAAGACAACCTGTGACTTAATCCAAGAAAGCAAAGCTCTGAGGCCGTGTCCAGTTCAGAGGCTCATTTGAAAAAGGGAAGGCTAAACCTGCACCTCTGCAAAAAAGCATTTGCAGATGATTCACCACAGTGTCATTGTAAATTCTCACAATATGGCCATAATAAGATTAGAAAATTAGCTTGTGTATACTTACGGACAGTAAACAAAAACACTGATACCAAACAAAAACAATAAGATGCAAAAAAAAAAAAAAAAATCTAAAATCTCATTAAATTGATACAGTTGCAAAACTGCAAAATACATAGTTTGCAATAGAACTGGAAGCCCAACAATCCAAAGATCTACAGAAACGCACATATAAGCCTGAGAAACTCCTTCCCACTGCAGCAGTGTCTTAAAACCTGTATATTACAAGAAGCCCCTGAAACAGGACACAGCTAATCTCCCTAAATTCTTCATGCTGCAAAAGTTACGTTGGGTTTCTACTTATGGCTGCTATTCTTAACTGAACTGGAAAACTCGGGCTGATAGATCAAGTAAATTTGGCACCAATTTTTTGAAGTGGTCTGTCAGACATGACATACGATTTAGCAGTTGAGCCAGTTTTTGTGTAACTTTTGAGCTACACTTCTACAGGTCTAGAGAAGTGAGTTCTATATACACTTCCATTTTATTCTATTAGGACTACTTGTGAAATTGTGTGGAAACTAAACAGACTTGCAGTCTCAAGAGATTTACTGAAGCAGGTTTAGACCTTCTTGATAAGCCTTAGAACAGGTCAATTTAGATTTAATACTGCCACACCGATTCATCCTGTAGTTTACAAAGAAGAAAGAGAAACTTTCACTACCCATGGCTTTCAGCTCCACAAACCTCACTTCTCCCAGTTCATCTACCTATTGTCAGCAGACTAGTGGGCTGTAATGGAGGGAGGGTTATGGTAGATAACAGTGAGCAGACTCCAATAGGTTGTAGAAGACATAGAGATGACTGGAGATAAACACACAGTGGGCACAAACAAGGCTTTATGATTTCCTTTGCACTTTCCAAACAATAGCACTCTTTCTAAAACTGGACACTTTCTCTCTGTGCGTTTGTGGCCAAGCTTATCAAAACTGGGAAAATCTTAAAGATGACAATAAGAGAGAGGGGTGCTTTATCTAACTTTTTTTTTTATTATTAGATGCTCTTTCCAGTTTAAAAAAATGCCTAACCAGTGTGATTAGTTTTAAGAAGAGGATTAGAGTGAGTTGAGAATCACATCTCTGCTTTTTCTTAAGCATTCTCTTAACCTTTGATTTCATTACGACCTTTTAAAAGCTCCATATTATCAGTCAGGCAGCGATAAGTCAGCTTGATCACTATGAGAAGATGCTTTACTGTGCTGTGTATTCATTTTCTGGGGGGAATAGAATCTAACTTGGTCGTGTATTGTAGCTCTCAGTGTTTGAAGATATTTTTCTTTTTATCGAGTCGTTGACAGAAAATGGATCCACTGGTTAGAAAGTCACGCAGAGAGCATGTCGTTTGGGTTCAAATAAAAGCCAAACACTATCAGCAATCAGACAGAAAGGGAATTTCACTCCAACAGCTTAACTGTGATTATCTCCAACTTTAGTGCATCTCACACTAACTGCTGAACTACATTAAACACAAAGCTAGATTGCACGTTCTTTCAAGTTTTCAGATTTCTTCTAAAGCCTGTATCTTCAGCTCAGGACATGGACTTTGTGTGCCTGTGCTCCTTATACATAAACATTTAGTAAAAGCTTATTTTTTCTGAAGGCGTTCAAACAAAAACACCCCAGTTTTTCAGCCTGCAGTCACATTGCATTAGCTCTTTTCTTTGTTTAAACCACACATAAAATGGGTTTCGGCTTTTATGGCAACATTTTTCATCAAGCTTAGCCTTTCAAAGGCTGGAAAAGGAACCCTTTACCAGTTTACCTTAATGTGCCTTATGCTTTCTCCAGACCAAATTCAAAGTGAAATTTTCACGTCCCAATTATATAGAAAGATAAAATCAAAGAAGCAAATTGGCACAAATTTATGACAGGTAATGCAAATGAAATCATTTTTGCATAGGGTAAATTCACACTAATGTGCTGTGGATTTAGTGTCACCATTATCACAGTTTGTAAGCAGCTAGGCCAGATAATTTCGGTTAACCTTTATACTGATGCATGAAAAAAAAAAGAAAGAGCTTGGAGGAAACTAAGCAAAAATGTTCCCATTAATTTCAGCTGTCAGTTTGTCTCAGGAGGAGAAAGAAATTTTGGGGGTTTTGAAATTAGCCAAAAGATGCCATGTAGCTTTAGCTGCTAATTACACCTCCTTTGACTCATCCACTTTGGCGTACACAGCCAAAATTTTGTAAGTGCTGAGATTACAAATGGAGCTTGTTTGAGTGCTTTGAAGGTTGTGGGGTTCATGTACCCTTTGGTTTATATAAAATAAAAAAAAAAAAAGTAGTATATTTGTCGCTAAAGCACACGGCCTGAAACTCATTTTTATGTGTGGCCTTAAACACATCATTGCTTATCTTCACCCATTTGCATTCACCAAAGATGGGAAAATTAAATAAAGAAAGAAAAACCCAACAGATGCTTTATACTCCCCCTTCACACCAACTTTGGTCTCTGGTTGTGATTTGTTACCATTTACACATACTGTGGTGTGAAAAAGTATTCTTCCCATTCCTGATTTTTTTTCTTCTTTCAAAAACACATTTGTCACGCTTTCATGTTTCAGAGCCTCGAGTTTTAATCTTAGATAAGGACAGCCTGAGGAAATACAAAATGCAGGTTCTAAAATATTTCAATTTTTAAGGACAAAAAGCAGCTATCCAAACCTTCCTGGCCTGGATCGTGCCCATAGATGCCATTTTTGCCCTGTCTTATTGGTGAATCATGCATGCTGACCTGAACTGAGGCAAGTGACGTCTGTAGTTGTTTACATGCAGTTCTTTTATGAACCCCTGAATAAGTCGTTGATGTGCTCTTGGAGTAATTTTGGCAGGATGGCTACTCATGAGAAGGTTCACTATTCCAACCTTTCACCATGGTTCGCTGGATTCCCTTAGAAATATCTTTGTAGCCCTTTCCAGACAGACAGACGTCAATGACTTTGTTTTTCATCTGTTCAAGTTTCTTTAGATTGTAGCATGAAGTTTCGCTTTTATTTTTTCTAATATACTTTAATTCACAACTTCCATATCTGGCAGTAAACTCATGAATTATCAAGGGTGGAGGGCAATTCCTTTTCTCTTTTACATAGAGACGTGTAGGTTATAATTGTTTTTTTCCTTTAATAAATGAACTTCATTTTGCACTTACTTGGATATTTAGTAATATTTGTTTGATAATCTGAAACATTTAAGTGTGACGTGTGACATGTTGTCCCCCCCCAAGAAAAAGGGTGGTACAAATACTTTTTCACAAGACTATAATAAAAAGCAATGTTAAAAAAAACAATAATAAAAACAAAATAATTAGTTTATACAAGCAAGGCTTCAGTCTTTGAGACAAAAAACAAAAAACTTCTGTGTCACTTGTGCACCTCCCTCCCCCCAGATCCCTCAGCAGCAGCAGTCTACTCTCTCTATAGCACCTAGTGCTTTGTCTTTTATGCTACATCGTTTTATCTTTTTGTATGGCGAGGGACAGAGAACAGACACTTGACATCATTTCAAAGTAAGTGAAAACAAAAAGGAAACCTCTTAAAAAAAAAAAAAAATCTCCAAAAATATATTTCAAAGTTACACCATCTGATGAAAAGAAAAGGGAGGAAAAAATGATGGGAACACAGGAAAAGTCTGATGGGAATGTTTTGTTGTCATTCTTGTACTTTAGAGTTTCTGGTATAAAGTCTGAGCTGGAGTTTAGGTAGCAGCGGGATCAACCTGAAACTCTGACGTCTCCTACTCCATTTCCTTCCTTCGGTCACTTTTGTTTTCACATTCACAAACATTTAAAACTTCCTTGTGCAAATCAAGCAGTCTTTAGAAAGAATGCCCTCCAAAATTGTTCTTGTAAAAATATATAACTCCAAGGTGGCTGATGTGTGTGTTGCAGCAAATGTTAAAATTGTATCGATGTTCATCAGGTCTGGACATAGGGTTGTTTTGTAATTCAACCAATACCACCACCCATTAAGCTTCATAACACTCCCTTTTCTCCTTTATCCTGAAGACGGTAAAATGTGTTGTCCTTCTGGGGGTAGTTGTTTAGCATCGTTGGATGGGGTTCATCTTCGTCCAGAGGGCATCTGTGCGTAGACAGGGTAGGCAAGGCGCACATTGAGTGAGTCATTGTGCTGCACCAGGGAAGTCTGGTGGTAGTGGAGCACCAGGTCCTTCAGGCTGCTGTAGAGGTTGTATGGCTCAGCAAAGCCAAAGCCACGTGGTGTACTGTAGATGACACAGTGCTTCACCTCCCCTTCCACACTTAGGAGACACACAGGAGAGGTACTTTAGTTAAGACTGTTTTAAGGTTAAAAATTTGTCATTCAATGCTTTCTTTCTGCATTTCCAATTTCTTCCAGCTAGCTTTGTTCTACTACTAAAGTAAACTCCCAGGGATAAAAAAATAAATAAATAAAGGAAATCATATCAGTTTTATTATTTTGGTTACATTCAGTATTTTTTCAAATGTTAATTTAGTGTAGTGATTTAAGAGTTTTGAGTCAGTGAACTTGTTGGTTCTGTGAAAAATGACCTTTTTCATTAATTCTCTCAAACTACTACTTCCCAAGAGGAAGCATCTTATTCAATACTGACATTAAGAAAAATAAACATTTTGGAATCAAACCTTCCTGCTCTCAGGGTTCACTCAGTGTCTAACCAAAGTTTGGGTTGGGGGAAGACAACAGCTAACAACAACACTACTTTAGAAGATCAAATCTCTGCATTTTAAAACACATTTTGTACTTGAACATCCTCCTGCCTCTGGCTCTTCTATCATCTTGTTATAGCATGCTTTTAAACTGGCTTTTACAAAGCTACCATGTTATTGGGTTCAGTCTAAATATATAGACATGGACACATAAGTGGCTTTATTGTAACCATTGACTATAGGTTGCCATGGAAATAGAAAGCAATCAGCATGTAAATCACTGAGTTTTTTCCCCTCCCACATGCTGTGAATGCATCATTAATCCCCTGTCTGAACTGGAAGATTTTCTACGCGGCACACTTTGCCCACAGTACCAATGGGGGTCAAGACATATCACAATGTATATCGTGTATCGCGATATTGCTAAAAAAATATTGTGCATTGCATTTTCCTCATATCGCCCACCTCTACCACAGTTTTGTGTCCAAAAATGTTTTTTCGGTTCCCTCAAACGCACACTGAGAATCACAGTGTGCTGCAGACTTAAAAAAGCCCTATCATCATCTTCAATAAAATAATCAGCTTCTTTTCTGAAGCATTCAAATATTTCGTGGCTTAAAGATGTACTGCAAAAGCATGGTGCTATTGAAAAGCCTGAGAGTAAATACAATTAAAAGTTGTAGCTTTTTTGTAACTTCGATTCTATTTTAACAACTTTTTATGTATATAATACAAATGCCTAATGTTGTTGTTGGCACTGGTGTTCGTCTCAATGTGCAATATTTTGAAAGGTGTCCCAACATTTTGTCCTTGTGTACAAACAAGGAGGACAAAAATGTCACTCTTGACTTCATAAAGTATGGGTATGTAAAGTAAGACGTACATCACTTCAGTCATGTGTTGCATGTACTCACACTACAGAGCAGGCATAGCACCCTTTTTTGCTGCTTTCTCGGATAAGAAAAGCTCCATCTGGCTTCCCCAGGAGCAGCTCCTCTGCCTGTGTCCTGTTCAGATCCCCCACAAACCAGTTCTTCTCATCATAGTGAGGCAAGTTCTCATCTTCCTCACTCACAAAGTAACCTCTGCAACCACATACATATGCAATACATTGAGAAATTGCACCAAAGAAATAATATATTCTGCTCTTTAAATTAACAGTTGCTCTAAGTAAGTAAAGTAACAGTGTTTGGGTTGCAGCAAAGCAAGTAGAGACTCACTCGTCTGTGTTCTCATTCTTGATTCCCAGCCAATCATTAATTCGTTTCTGACGAACTCCTTTATGATTGAGCCAGCTAAAGAGAAGTAGAGAGAGAGAGAAGCATTGTTACTACTAGGAATCGGTTTGAAACTTTGAAATTTGTTTATGTTAGAGTGAACCGGCACAAGACTGAAATTGGCAAATGTCCTCACAGAATAATTTGGGATGTTCTGCTGAGAAACTGCTTAACTTGTTCCTGGAAATAAAGCAGGCGCTCTGATATCGAGTTGAACTGGACCTTCCCTAAACTAAAGCAAGTTTCTGATTGAGCCACTTGATGTGCTTTTGGCTCTAGAACTATGATGAGTCAGATTTTCTTTGATGTCCATATGACAATCAATAAAAAAAAACAATTATTTCATCGGAAATGATTCCACTGATGTTTGAGTTTTTTTGACCACATCTAATAACTCCCCATTTGACTTTCAAGTGTGTGTAGCTACCCCGCAGATGTACAGCATGAACAATATAAACACATGAAAACAGGATCCTGTTCCAGGTCAGTAGGTTTTTAATGCGGACCTGCTTTGACCTGCTTTCTGTACTAATGCCATTGCTCATGTTTTTCTCTCGTCTTTGTATGCTTACACTAGATACTGATCCCTGATTTTGCGGAGCTGTATGAGATCAGGCTTTAGGCTGTTCATCTTTTTGTCTGTCTCCCGGTTGTCCATGGCTTGCGTCTTTAGGTCCTGCTCCAGCCGCACCTTGCTGTCGTGGATCTCTCCGAGGCGAGATTTAAGCTTTTCATAGTTCATCATGATGCGCTCAATCTCTTTATCATTGCTCTCACGCCTAAAACGCTCAATGTAGTCCTTGCTGTAGCGCTCCTGCGTGTGGCATTGCTCCTCGAAAATCTTGATGGTTTCATTGAAGGCTTCAATAGCTGTTCGCTTCATCTGGATCTCCTGCAGGACAAGATGAATAGTTGACACACAAAAAAGGCCCCAAAAAACAAACAAACAAACAAAAAACAGACATGCAAAAAAAGCAATGCATTTGTTAGACTAGAGTATGAATATACCTGTGATGTCTTGGTATACTCTTCATATAGTCTGTCATATTCTTTGCTTTTCTCCTGGTACTGATTGTGGTATTCCTGCAACTTCTTCCCCACTGCATCAATGTTGTCCTCCTTCACCAGCTGGTCCTGAGAGTCAGTCGGAGAAAGGAGCATTAGAGACAGAGTGACTTTCAGAAACTGACAAGGAAAAAGCTGGAGAGTAAAATCCAAAGCCATTTGTAATAAAAGGCCAAAAGGAAAAACAAAAATGCACGCACACACACTTATTCCCATTACCCCCGTTCTCCTTACTGAGGGTGACTCCTGAACAGGCTCGTTAATAAACCACCCACAATGCCCCAGGTGTAAGCCCAGGTGGGCATTCTGGCTAATCTTGCATAGTTCTGAGTAATGACTGGCTAAACCTGCCCTTTCATCACTGGTGCGTGCAATTGAGTATGTCATAGGAGCCGGCCGAAAGGGCAACATTTCAGCGAGCAGGTATCATGTAGCTGCTGCTGCAGTTTAAAGTGGAAACACTAAGAGCAAGTCATTGGGTATAGAGGGAAGATTGTTGGTGGTGTTCAAGAGGATACTGTTTAAAGATTATGAGGAGGGAGTGTACCTGCTGGAAGCGGGAGATGGGGTACATGAGCTTGACATCCAGCTTGGTGTTGTATTGAGCCAGTGACTCATGTCTGTAATGGCTGATGAGCTCCACCACTGAGCTGAAAGTCAGGGGGTCAGAGAAGCCGTACTTCCCATCTCTGTGGTAGATCTTTATCAGCTTGTTATTGCCCCCTTTCCTGAATAACAGAATAACAAACAAAGGCTTAAAGAGACAGGCAATGCATTCTAAAACAGACAGGTTGTCAATTTATATACACGCCTTCAAACATTTGAAGATGTGGTGTACAAATATTTATACACCATAGCTTCTATAACACCTGGGCATGGTATGACTCCAAGGCGGGATCTTTGGTTTTTCCTGACCTGCCCGTGTCAGGTTAATGAAGAAGAGGAAAAAAATAAATAAATCACATCTTAGCCACCAAACACTCTTTGCTAAACTATGCATCAGAGAATGGCTTCATATTTCCTGCCACCCTGCCCTAACAAAAAACCCCCAAACAAAAACAAACAAAAAAAAACAAAAAACAAAAAACACACTTCAGAAGAGTCTATTTTAGAACTCTTATTATTGACCATTACCCTAAAATGTTAAAGTTCAGCTGATGGTAAAAGCAGAAAGAAGGTGGAACTGAAACACAAGGCTAAAATATGTCACCAGGTTTGAAAAGAAATAATCAAACAAAGTCTAAACAGACAATTATACTAAATAATTCAAGTTAAAAATGTATTTCCTAAACAAACATACTTATCCTATGCTAGTGTAATGAATTGTTCTGCTGTCAGTTGACATCATTAATAGGTTTTATTCATTTCTGTCTGAAAGTCAAAAGATGAACTAGTCATTAAGATTACATTCAGTCTGAGTTATCAAGGGACACACAGTGAAACAAAACAAAAAATACACAGAGGTAGAAGAGAATTCGTTTTAAGCATGTATTCTATTCCATCAAAACACACATCAGAGCTCAGTGGGGGGGAAAAAAAAATACGCTAATTTCTATTCTGTTATAGGCTGGGTAATCTGCTGGGAACAAAAGGATACCATGCACTTTGATGAAAATGAAAATTCTCAGCTTTCAGAGGATGAAAGTAACAAAATAACGCAGTCAGCTTTTTTGCAGCAACTAAAAATGATACCCAGTTTTTATAGCTTCCACGTGCTTGTATGCATGCCTGATAACATCGGGGCATGCTCCGAAATGAGTTGACAGATGGTGTTGGATGGGAACTCTCCTCCTAGATCTGGAGCAGGGCATCATTAAGCTCCTGGACAGTCTGAGGTGCAACCCAGCCACGCTGGATTTAGGTCAGGCAAGCATGACTATGGCATCAATTCCTTCATCCTATAAAATGACTTCAGGTGGCTACTGTTGTGGTTTCGTCCTATATAACTAAAACTGAATTGAATGATATCCTTCAGGAATTGCCACCAAGCTCTTGCCACATGAGGCTGGGCGTTGTCCAGCACCAGGAGGGTCCCAGGACCCACTGCACCAGCATAGGGTCCTGGGGGCTTGGACAAGCGGTCCGAGGATTTCATCCTGATGCCAAACGGCACTCAGTGTGCTGTTGCCCACCCAGTGAAGGTCTGTCAATCTCTCCTTAGGTTTGGCTCTTCAGACCATCACTGACCCACCACTAAACTAGTCATGCTGACGTTACAGTCACTCAGGGTGAACCTGCTCTTATCTATGAAAAGCCCAGCTCAGACTCCACAGTACCAAGCAGTGAAGTCCATTTCTGATTGTTTGGCCAGAGACATTCACATTAATGTCCTCCATGCTCTTAAGATGTTGGGAGAGACAGCAAACCTAGCAATTGTACACATTGATGTGTCATCCTGGAGGAGTTGGACTCTAACCCTAACCCTCTATAGGGGACTTGGTATCATCTCATGCTACCAGTAGTCACACTGACACTAGCCAAACAAAAACAATGATTAGAAAAGATGAGGTGGGAAAATATGCCTATAAAACCATTCTTCTTTTTGGGCATTTCCTCATTGTTGCCTCTCTAGTGCCCCTGTAGTTAATTTCATTCAAATCAAAGCAGCTGAAATTGACAAACAACCCCCTCTGCTACTTAAATGACCAAATCAATTTCCCAGAAGCTTAACTGCCTTGACCTTATACTCTGATTAAAGAGTGTTCCTTTCATTTTTTGAACAGTGTATGACCAACCCCCCCCCCCCAAAAAAAAAAACCAAACCTAAAACTGTCCACTATTACTATGCAATGCTAAAAAACAACAAAAAACAAAATAATAATAACAGCAGCATGCTCTGACTATGGCAATACGAGTTTAAAATATGTCCAGAAGGCAGGCAACGCTCTATTATTCTTTATTATCTACAAAGCACTTATAGGAACCATCTCAAGTCTACATTCTTGCAGTTAACTAAAGGATAACAGCATTAAAGTGGATCAGAAGTGCTGCACTACTCTCAAGTTTGTAGAAATCCTTGTGTGGTTTAAAACACATCATTCAGATGCTCTGATATAGACATAAAGGTCTGTGTGCAGTGGCCTTACCTTAGTGTTAGCGTGTAGTCGCCTTGCATCTTAGTAGACGCGTCCCGAACCAGGAAAGTCCCATCAGGCATGTCTCTGAGCTTATCATTCACCTCCTCCCTGAAGACAAAATAGAAAAGAGAAACAGAGGAAGGAAAAAAAGGGTGTTTGACTTGGTTGAGTGATCCATGCACAGATGGTGTTCATTTGGAAAAGTCTGCCTTCAATCATCAGCGGCAGGCGAGTAGAACTTTCTTTATAACCACACACCTCAAAGTAAACAATCCGTCAATTAGCAGTGCAGGGAGGGGTGATCCTAGCCAGCAGTGTCTCAGCTGAGGATAAGTACGTGAGTGGCAGACTGACTGACTGCACTGTAGGTGTGGTTATCACTGTTTGTGGAACAGCTAACCTGCACTTAAAGTAAAGCAGTGACCTTAACAGTAAAGACAATTTACTGAGCTGAGAAATAAACTTGTCAGTTATCTCTGGAGGTTAGAGTATATCGAAGTTTCAAAATATGTTGACATACAAAACAAACTAACAAGCAAACCAAAGAAATAGAATTACACTATATAGTTTACTAATATGATGGTGTATAACATAAAGCATATAAAAAAACTACTCTATCCTGCAGTCTTTAACTGCTGGAGCCCTACCCCTACTGTCGCTATAGACTTTAAGCTCACTGTCAAAGTTCTCCACCAGCATAGATGGACAGACAGTGCTGTGATATCTAACAAAGAATAATAACCTGATACTCTGAGTTAAGATTCAATTGATGCTAAACAACATGCTAAACAGGAAATGCTAATTTCAAAGCCACCAGACAACAATGACAAATATAATATTTACCCTAATGAATAATAAGTGTTACTGGTCATTTTGAGACTCTTTAACATGTTGGTAGCTTAGAACCAAACAAACATCAATGTCAGACAACTGACCAACTGTGGCCCAACTATAACTCCTATTATTTTGTGGTCTGACAACAGGTAAAGCACTGATAATACCCATATTTGCTTTTTTAAGATGTCTAAAATGTGCTGACCATGTCTGCACATAGAACATGCCTTTAGTTTCTGTCAGTGCAGGTCTTGTGTTGCTGGGGGAGGGGCCAAGCCTCCCACATCTGCATTTCATGTAACCTAACAATGTCACTGTTAAGCTCTCACTGATTTTTCTGTCAGTAACACAGTGTTTGCTACCTGGATATGTCACCCCAGTACCATTCGGCCTCTTGTAAGGAGCCTCCCGCTCCTCCATCCTTGGCGACATTGCTGCTGCCCCCTGCCATTGCGACCGAGGAGGGCTGCTGAGGCTTGGTTGGCTTTGGAGGAAGGGCTAGGAAAAAAAACAAAACAAACAAGTATTACAATTACTGTGTGTATAACAGTTCATATGTACATGATATTTGCATACAGTATAACTTGCCCTCAGCCCTGCAGCAAAGTTAAACCATCAGTCTACAGCTGCAGACAGAGTGTTGATCACTTTATCATTTAGAAATACTACTTTGCACAACCATACACAAAAATGTATGGTACCTCGTTCACACTGCAGGCGAAATCGCATCAAATCCAACTTTTTTTGACCCTATGCGACCCATATCCGATCATGGTATGACAGTGTGAACGGCACAAATCTGATATTTTCAAATCCGATCTCGGTCACTTTCGTATGTGGTACTGGATCCGATACATATCTGATATTTTAGAAAGCGACTGCTGTTTGAACGATCATGTCGCATTAAATCCGTCTTCTACGTCACTGACACAAGACAGATGCCAATTATCAGCGCGGGAGAAGACATCATGAACCCTTCCTGGCCATCCAGTGTAGATGTTAGTGTAACGTTGGAGAAACGTGAACATTTTATTTGTACTGTATAATCTGCAGATTCTGACAGAAATTTCCAACTATCCTTTGAAGCACCGCTCCTCTCTAAAACAGCAATAAGGATAATTATTAGGCCATAAGTAAATAACAAAATAACTTTATAACTTAAAGCAAAATTGGGAAACCATCAGTCAAACAATACTGTTTGGTCTGGGTCTAAACAGAGCGCGTTGTGTGTGACGTCTTCTTTTGCGCATGCGGGCCATTTGAGCGTTCACACTAGAGCGCGTTTGCTGTCACATTTTATTTGTAGTGTGAACAAGCAGACAGAAAAATCGGATTTGATCCAAAAATCGGAATTGAGCATTAAGACCTGCAGTGTGAACGTAGCCCTAGTAGACACACCTATTGTATCAATTTCAAAATCTGACATCACTGTGTTCGAGTTATTGCATTCATAAGATTTTCCAAAAACTTGACCTGTGAGATTCAAACTCAGCTGATATTTGTAGAAGATCCACCAATGGTATCAATTTGAAATTCCTACATCGCCACGTTCAAAAGTCACCAGATTCGCATTGAATTTTCAATTAAATCCTTAATATGTACACATTCTTTTTATGCAGATGATGCACAGGAACTGTACTCATAACCACACCACATAAACACTGTAGCAGTGCAGCTGGTGACTGTATGGTTATTAATCACAAGTGAAGCGCCCATATATCATAGTAATTATGCCTTATGTCAGAAACCACACACGCAGGTCAACGATCACGTGAGTGTTCCCGGGGCTCAGCAGGAATGCTGAGGTTTGTTAAATGTGGAAAGCCTCATGTTTTCATATCTTCTCCTGTCATTAAATTCATTCTCCTGTTAGGTTTGTAATGGGGAACTCTGGTCCTTCCGCTCGTTTGTTTGTAGCCATTGTCATTGCATCATCAGAGTGTTAAATTTGACTGAGAACTCTAACAGAAACTCTGACTTGCATTCTTCCCATTGTGTTTTGGTTTTCAACGGTTATGAAGATCAAGCTGTATAAACCCATAACTTAAAGGTTTTGCTATAAAAATAGGTTGTTGTCTTGTTATTAAGTGCTTCTTTATAAATGGACCGATTCTTATACATTTTTTACTTTTCTACTTTCCCAGAGCTCTCAAAGCCTTTTATACAACATGTCACAATCACCCATTCACACACATTCACACTCTGATGGATGCATTGGAGAACAACTTGGGGTTAGTGTCTTGCCCAACATATGCAGACTGGGGGAGCCAGGGATCGAATCACCAACCTTTCGATCAGTAGATGGCCTGCTCTACCTCAGGAGCTACAGCCACCCTCATAAATGTTCACTTTTACGTCACTTAAAGAGCTTAGTTCAGTTTGAGTAAAACTAACATAACAGGAGTGCCTTTGGTCAACGGGATCAATCTATAATGTTTCACAAGGTTTAGTCATTAAACAAATTTAAGTATCAAATGGAAATACAAACTGAAGAAAAGTCAATATATTTAACTGATTTTGTGAAATACTATGCAGTCTAACAAAAAAATAAACAAAAGACTGAATGCATGAAATAAAGGTTAACATTACTGAGTCTGTTTCAACTTCTGTGTTGCAACTTGTGGCGCTAACATGCAACTTCTATGCAAGACTGGGATTCAAATCTATATTTGATTGCTAAGTGTGAAAAAATGTATTATAGAGAAAACATTTCACCTTGCATGTCAAGTCAAGTAAAACAGTATGACAGTCTGCTCACACACTGACCAGTCAGTCAAACGGGATTGATGGTAGTTTCAGAGCTTTTGGTTTTTGAACACTGATGTTATAAACCAGCACATATTATAAAGACCTGTTTGGTGCCATGCTGCATGCTAAACAGAGTTAACCTGACTATGACACATAATACGAAAAACAAACAAACACATGCAAAAGTTTTCAAGTATCCAAGCACATCTGGACACAATTTAAGGACCAGCAGTGTAATATCTCTCTCTCGCTCTCAACAGAGTACTGATGTGGGAGGTGTCATTTAAAAACAAAGTAACCTGATGAATGTACTGAAATGGAGTGGGCTCCTCCTGCAGAGTGCTCACGTGCCAGAGTCAGCAGCATTTGGGAACACTGTGGCCTCACAAATTACCACAAGACACGCACGCACAGACAGCAGAAACAGACGCTTGAATGTGAGGAAGGGCTGAATAAAACCTGGACTTCTGTGTGCACGTGCACATCACCACTCACTGTCCGTTGAATGCTAACACTCACAGCAGCAAATAGTTACATTGTTAAGTTATTTCTGTTATTTTTAAGCAATCTATAGTTAAAATGTTTATGCTAAATACTACATAGGTAACTTTTGTCCTTAGGTTCGACTGGTGCTGTGTCACTACTATTCCACAATAAGGTTGCTGCTGGAACATTGCAGGACTACAATCACACTTCAAATTAGGTATTACATCAATGACAGCAGCTCACTGGAAAAGAACCATTGGGTATGTTCTGAATTTACTTGGGCTTATAAATGCTGCAACAATCGTTGTTCAGCATTTTTTCAATATTATTAGAACTATTGTTCATCACAAATTTTCTTGAAATATTGTGATATACCCTCAAAATGATATCACTCACCACTAGGTTGAGGGTGACTAATGTGTTTAATTCATATCTTCTATGGAAAAACAGAAGACATTTTTCCCAGTGCTATGAGGACTTAAACCTACAACATTTGCCCACTGGGGGGGAGCAGAGCAAGCAAAATGCACAATAATTGATTTGATGCTAATTACAGACATGCTAGTATATCTAACTGACAAGTACAAAAAAAAAAAGCCACAGCCACCAATGAAACAATGAAAACAATACTTTAGAGTTATATTTTAATTGTCACATGATAGTAGTGAGAATTCACTACAAAGTGTGTGTGTGGGGGGGGCAAAAGAGGGGAAGTGACAGCTTGTGCTCATCTATGCAAATGCTTGGATGCCAATAAACTAACACACTACATTTCAAAGAACAAAAAAAAAAAAAGTAGGAACAGTTTACATCCTACAAACTTTTTCTTCACTCTTTATTGTAAGACCACTTAAATAGAGACTGGTAGCCTCTCTTCCTCTCCTGTTCTTTGTTCCCTTCTCACTGACTATTCAACTCTTCTCCCTCCTCTCTCTCATGTCACCATGGCAGTCGGTTAGTGTTGCCAAAACTGTCGTCCTGCAGCTGCACTGTTCCCCTCAGTCAGCACTTTACAGACGAATGCTACACGTGTGCACTTCCAAGGATAGATGGGGTGGAAATTCATGTTATGTTTACATTGAAAAACACATGCACAAGTGAAATAGATTGCAAAAACAGAAAAAAGTAACTGATTTTAAAAAGCATGAAAATCAGAGTCTATGTGTGCTTGCAGTTGTGGACCACACAGAGGGTAGCGTGTAAAAAGCACAGAAGGATCACCACAGCTGCAGTTAGGCAATCTCATTACCAATAAAATGAGTCTTTTCTTGACTTCATTACGTGTGTCCACTTTGCATATGTTACTTGAACACCTCAAACACTGAAGTTACAATGAGATAATCGAATTTCTGTCTTAATACACCAACTACAAAATGCATTTCTACCAAATTAATGACTAAAACAATTTCTGCACCTTTAAGTCTCTCATTACTCCAATACTGTATCTGGTAGTTTCTTAGGACAATGGACACAACAGAAAATAAGCAGTACACAAGCTCCAGATTGCAAAATTCTATAAGAAAAATTAAGACCAGAGACCTGTAGAAAATCCAAACCTTCTGACAATGATCAGAATTTGTGGGAAATGTAATCTTATGTCCTAAATAAAGAAGAATTATACTAATCGGAGAACAGTCTTAACCACATGGACATATTTGGAAAACGTTCAAAACTGCAAAAAACACGACTTAAAAAAATATGACCAATATAACAGAAACTGCTGAGCCCTTAGTCACAACTACTGCATAGGTCCCTGAGAGGAAGCCAGAGGGACGGTGAACAAAGGGGACCGTAGGTGCAGCCTCCCCCTCACCAAACAAAGGACCAGTGCTCACACATTCACATATGCACAGACACTTCCATATCAGTTGTCATTGTACATGCTGACAGAAGCCTGCAGCTCCCCTAAACAATAACTGTCAGAGTGGACAGACACATGATAAACTCACTTGAGACAAAGAGAACTCAGAGAACATGGGTCTTGGGGCATGTTCAGGAGTGCACACACCAGCTGATCAGGGAAACAGGGCAGCAAAATTGAGGTTTGACAGATGTGTACCGACACAGGAATTCATACACGACAATGGAATTAATGCACAGCCTACAGTTAAAAACTCAAAGCAGGAAGCATGAATGTGTTGTTCTGAAGCAATCTGCTTTATTTTCACAGCTCTACATCTGGATGAGGTAAGTGTGAGTGTACGCATCTGTTAGATGAATGGAGTCTTTTAGACTATCTAAAGAGGATCCAGATCCAGATGTAGTAAAGCTGATTAACATTTAAGTTGACAGATTGACAGAAATTTAAATTTGATAAAGCTGTTTCTAAATATTAAAATATTATAACTTTTTAAAGAACCACAGAAAAAAAATCTGCTTTAAGTGACATTCTGTTGTTGGACTTTCATTTGGACGACTGATTGTGACCCAGTTTTAAAATACAAATGCACACAGAGCAAAATAATGAATGAATGCCAGTGCTCGCTCACATCCTCTGCAAGTTATGGGTGCTGCAGGAGCAATAAAAGAGAAGGAGGAGCTCTGTGTGTAGGGGAAAAGCTGAAAAACACTAAAGAAAGGGCAGCATAAAAATGCAAATAAGTAGACATGGATACAAAGAAAGCTACGGTTACATTTAAAAAAGCAAAACTAAGAAGGCTGAAGAGACTAAAAAGTGAAATACATGAAAACAAGAAATCTCATTCCCTCTCTTACCGTTCTCCATCACACTCTCTGTTAGATGCATGTTTCCAGTTTTCTCTCAGCTGTTTCCCTCCTCCCTTTTTTCTGTCACTCACTCTCCTCGTCTTACTTGCACACACTCTCTCTCCTCCCTCCTCTACCACCTCCTCCTCCTCCTCCTGTTCTCCTCTCCATCAGACTGAAGAAAAGAGGGAGCACAGCTCATTCTAAAAGACAGAAGATGCCCCAGCTAATCCCTGCACGGAGGCACGCCCCCTCATCCAATCAGAGGACAGCCCGGAGGGAAGGCGTGTAAAGCTCAAAGAAAGAAAGAAATGAGGGAGGCAGGGAGGAAGGTTGAGTAGGCTTGTGGTAGATCAAGTCCATCACACCACGCAATCACACACACAACAATGCAGCACCTCTAAATCAACAAGTTTCTACTGTGACTGCCAACTGAATTTGTATATTCATTCACTAACCCTAAACTAAGAATAAAAACAAAACTTACCCAACCTTCCAGTAAATTCAAGCCTTGTTGAAAACTGATTCTTGTTCCAGCTTCTCCTACAGGGAAAAGCTGGAACCAGAATGAGCTTCCAGCTTCTCCAACCAGAATTAGTTTCAAAAAAGGCTTAAAATGCAGACAAAACCATAGGTGCTGGACATTCTACATCTCTACACATTCTACTGGGCTATGCCTGGAAAGTTACACTGGTGGAAAATTAGCAGAAGACATCTCTGTCCTATTACAGAACAGGTCCTCATACTGACGTTTAGTTTCATGACAACGCTGCAATTTATTTACTTGAAAAACAATTTTGCATCTTTCCGCTGACTCACATTTCAACACAAAACAAATTAATTTTATTTATACAGCACCAGCTGACAGAAATCTAATTATGCTTTATATGAAGTAAAGAGGCCACAATATCAGTGTGAGAACAACAACCAGACAATCCCCCTATGTGCAGCACTTGGTAAAAGTGGGGAGGAAGAACTTGTTTTTAACACGTGCAAGGAAGCATCCAGACTGCACAAATAAAGAAAAGGAACAATATGAATGAAAAAAATGATTTGTCGTCTTGGCAAAGGGGTCTTTTTCTTTTATTCTGTGTACACATGAATAAAAACTACGGAGAAGAAAGAGGAGCTGGAATGTATAACACTGCATTGTACTGCAAATGAACCTTGACATGCAAAAAGCACTCTGGTATGGTCCTTTGGCAACAATGTCCCGGTGATTTTCCATTGAAACACGAGACTCATCATTCACCCCACATCCACAGAGTGTCGCTTCACACACACCAAGTTGCCAGTGGATACGGAGGCCTTGCCCTCCCCTGGGGGTGGCAGTGACACTCCACCTGTGCTAATCAAACCACAAGTACCACTGTACACACACAGGAATTCACACACTGTAGATATCAGTGAGGCGTTCACATTTCAATTCCAGTGTAATAAACATACACATGTAATGAACATCTGTGGACTTAGAGGTTTAGCTAATGACAGGATGTGCTCATTTGGACAAAAGAGCTGTAAGAATCTGAGTACTGTACAACCTAAAACCAACAGAAACAGTGAAGCTACTCGCATAGGAACAGAGGATTATTTGTCCTCTATAAACACCAAATCAGTCTACAAAAACACTCATATATACACAAATGCTGTTCTGAAGGTTTCACATTGCCAACACAATGTTTGTTATGGTCCAAAACATTCTTGTTCACTACATTTTGTCAGATAGAAACAGTCTGTTGAGCAAAGCAAAAATCTGTTATTTTTTGTGCCATGACAAACCCCTAAAGAAATGGCACTAGGCACGATAAAAGCCAAGCTCCAGTGGCCAGTTAAATGTGTGAATCACCATTAAATGGCCAGAATTTTGCATCTGCATCCCTAATGCACTGAGCAGCAGCAACAAAGGATTACCGACTGCACTTCAAAATACAAGGTCTAAAGAGAAAACGTAGCTGAAACAATACTTTTACCCAGCACAAGCTTAAAATATGTTGCATATTCAAGCATCCCGTGGTAAAATGGTAGTGAGCTCTAAGCCCAAATACTCTGCAGCATGCTACAGATAGACACAACACGGCACTGTGAGGTTGCTGCGGAGTATAGTGCATCTTAATAGATAGATAGATGGAGGGAAAAGAAAGGAGACGGAAAAAAAAAACCCCGAAAGAGCTACAAGGCAATTCAACAGCGCCTCCTGGAAACAACACAACGTCCCACATCTGCGCCATGATCCATTGAGGAGGGGAGAAAAGCAGGGAGGAAGAGGAGCGAGTCGAATGACACTGGCACAATTGCCGAGGAATGAATGAATGAAACTTATTCAATTGTGGGTGACAGTTGGCTAGAAAAGGGCACAAAGACTTCTATATGTGTCCAAGTGAAGATCGTTATTATTCGGAGATATTCAGGACGGTTTTATTCCAGGTTTTATTCATTTTCTTGGTTTCCTGCTTGTCCCATCCCCCCTCTCCCCCTTCCCCGCTCACGGCACAGCTGATTTTGGAATGATTCAGTCGGAATGGTTTAATGCAAACTTCAAGTGCGGAATAATACCAAATCTCGGTATTGTACAACATTTACCCGGTGGTCTCATAAGCCAAATTCTCCAACAGTTAAATTAAAATGGGTTAAGCAGCAGATACAGTCACCTTGGCTCCTATTCTATCATCTCATAGGCCTCTTGCAAAGCCATCAGACGCAGAGAAGAAGTGGGGATGCTTCAGTGTACGGACTACACGGGACTTATTGTCTCCACAGTGAGACTGCAACTACTGTGTCATCACGCAAATCTGTATCTTAATGTACAAAAGATCAGCTGTGGCGAGTGCACCGGACAGCGAGAAACAAAGAGTCCAAGGCGTTTAAAGCGCTGTCACTGCTGCTGTAAACTGCCATTTTATTTCCTTCGTCCCCGAATTACCTGCTTCTCAGCTACAGACAGCGCTAAGTTTATGTACGCTGTCACAAATGTAGCGAGTGTGCCTAAAACATCACGACTGCCCAGAAGCCCGCGAAGCCCTAATAAAACAAAGCCATAACTGCGTGACCGGTACGAACAGGAGCAAAACGTGAAACCTGAAAGCTTCTCTGCAAATTTCACCAGACACCAAAGCACACAGCTCCTAAACACACATCACTCCAGCTAATTAACTCCAGTCCAACTAACCATTTCCCCGCTATCACCGGCCTGAAGCTTACCTGGTGGTTGGTCCATTTCCAGATAAAATATCAGCTCTGTGGAGTAGGGCATCATCACGTCCCTCCAGTCTCCTTCCTCGCCGGCTTTTTTGGTCGTCCAGACTGTGTTATACATTGCTTTCTTGTAGCTTAACCAGGCAGTCTTTGTATTAGAAAAACGCTATTAAACAAAGTAAAATTGACCGGCGTACTTAAAAAAGAAAAAAAGAAAAAATCATCGTGTGCTCCTGTCATATGCCTCCATGTTAATCTATCTGTTTACTTCTAAGTCTTCTATCTGAATTCCTGCTTCAGGATTAAATGAATAGACGAAACGTATACAACAAGCACCGGGCTGCGACTGCTCCCTCGGACATGTTAATATTGTTAACAACTCGGGGAACTTCATGAAGGCTCCTGTATGTATGTGTGTGCATCTATCTGTCTACATATATATGCACATAAAGACTTCCTTTAAACGGTGGGTAAGTAGATGCCAGCTCTACATACAACCCCCTCGGCCTCTCCTCCGCAGGTGCCACCGTCTCGCTAGTTTCATTTTAAGAAACGCACTGACAGGCGGAGGCTGGCGGAGGCAGAGCCAGACAACGGCTGGGAAAACCCACTCCTACACGACATGCAGGGGAGGACAAAAATATCACCAAATATTCACATAAAACTTACTGTAAATAAACTGCTCTTTAATGTTACATATAATAATATCCCTCATTTATTCATTGCCATTATCTAATCCATGTAGGAAATCCAATTTTTTATCGTCCCTGCCGATTTGACGAATAATTAATCGTCCCTTTATTACTCGAAGAGTGGTTAGCCCGTTTCTGTCCTCTATACGCCGCTGACAAAGCGCTCTGCGCAAGCTCAGAAGCCGAATTTCAAAGCCAGTAGGAAAATTACCTCAGCCTATGAAGAGCAAGTTACAAATACGGTGGTTTTCCACTAAGTTTCTAACCTTCGCCTGAGTCTGTGTGACTACATGTTACCAGCTTCTGTTGCCGCTAAAGCACATACAGCACCGACAGCTGTTTGGTATGACATAACATGCTGCATGATAACTACCAGTCAAACCAGGACTGAGAGCCAGTGCTTGCTTTATTAATTTCTGCAAATTAACTAGAAACAGGAAGATTAAATAATGACCTTGGTGAAATATACATATCAAGTAAGTTTTGTTTCTAGTTCATGTTTATATGAGGTTAATTCAAACAGGCACCAAATATAAGGACAACCCCCCCAAAACAAATTAAAATCACTTATGCATGGTTTTGGAAATTGTCAGTAGCAGTGTGAATAAGATGGAAATACATTGCAACAGAGATTACAATGTGGGAGATTGTATGTTTGCATAACATACCTAAAGATTATGTATCCACATTAGCAACTATCCTCTTGTAGGATAGGCAACAATGCTTGTCCTCTCCAAAGGTACTAGCTGACTAAGTCCACACATCTTCATAAACTCCTTCAAAGTCTCTTTACACTAGCTTTTTTGAATTTTTGGTAATCCCCTTTCCCAAATAGTGGCAAGTACACCCTTTTTCATCATAAGGGTCTTTTCTGCTGCAGTGATAGAGCTTTAGTTTATTTGATCACTGGGCTTGTTTAACTAGCCTGTTTAACTGCTATTTGCGATGTGAAGCAAACCTCCTATGGTGAGGTAAGTACAGTTACAGATAATATGGAAGCTTAACCATGAATTAGGGAATGCTAGAGATATGCAAACATGCATGAGGCCTGTAATAATTACATTACCCCACACACACACACACACACACACACACACACACACACACACACACACACACACACACACACACACACACACACACACACCCACCAAAACACACACCCACCAAGAAGGATAGTATGGATTTCCATGATTATTAGTTCAAGCACAATCTCTAGGGATCCTTTTGTTCATATTTTAAGATTCTAAAAGTGCTTGGTATTTTTATATTAACAATGAATGGCAATATGTTGTGGGAAAGGGGTCTCTGAAAGCGAAACAGAGTATTAATGCTGTGTTTAGACCAAACATTAGTGAAGTTTTACCCCTCATTATATGTGCATGTACAGGTGATAGAGCGTTTCTGGAACACTTGCAGCCCAAAAATATTACCCAACATAGAAATGGAGAACTACTTTATTCCAGTATAGTTCCAATAGCTGGAGTTAAGTAAAAGTTTTGATTCATTCAAATATTCACACTCTCTCTTTTTTTTCTGTCTCAATATAAAGCAAATGTGATATCAGGGAGAACCACAGAAATCCCAAAAGAGGAGGGAAAGAAGACACAAAAGAGAAGAATAGAGACACCATATGCAGAAAACATGCTTTCTTGCTTTGTGGTAGATCTTTGTTCTGTTTTCACTGAGATATTTGAATGCTAATCAATAAAAAAAAAAAAACAAAACAAAACAAAAAAAACAAACAGGACAGAAGACTTCCTTTTTTATGTCAGACAGTGTGTGCACAGATTTTGTATGACTTACTTAGCTATGTGTTGTGAGAAAACAACATTTTCTTTCGGTCTAATCACACCATTAGGCTATCATGCTTTATAGCAGAACCTAAATGGACATATTCCTCGACTAGTACCATCTGATGCTGACCTACTGCCCAAAGTCCTTTCACTGAAAAAAAAAATGCTTACATCACAGAACTTTGTTTCCATTTTTTTAATTTATAATAATTATAATTTTATTAACACCATGATGGGTGACCATTATTTTGATCCAGACCCCCATCATCCCACAGTAATCTCTGCCAGGAATGACAGCTGCTTTGTCTGGCCCAGTGTCCTACTTGACGAGGCAAGCAACTCCCATCTACTATCACTGACCCAGTCATCTATATTTCCATAAACTTGTCTGTCTCATCTGTCCATCACAAGAGAGGTAGAAATGAAGGAGGATGAAGGGACCTTGTGTGAATTGAGGGAATTGAATGGATTCTCCGTAATGCAGTACGCACATATATATCATTAATGTGTGTTTGTGTGTGTGTGTGTGTGTGTATGGGTGGGTGGTTGTGTTACAGATGACTTATGCTGGATACACACAGCACAATGTTCTTCTTTGTACTGTGTGTGTGTTTACAGCCTGGCAGATGGATCACTATTAATGATACAGGAGCTAAAACTGCCTCTCGACAAACAAAGGAGAAACGAAGAGGGACGAAGGATGGGCAGACAGCACAGGAAGGGAGGACGATGATGGGAGATGTGCGCTGATGGTTGCACTGTCCCCAACCATCAGCACACAGCTCCCCATTTAATTTCCCAACCACCGATCGCAGGAGCACCAAGTGGCCTATTTGCATAGCATACCCCTCCGATGGCTCCATATACATAAAACATATACAGTTATGTTTTCAGGCACTTGTTCAAGCACATTTACAATCAGATGCAAAAATGAAAACAAATTCCCAAAGTAACAGAAAACATTTTTAAGCTTGGCAGACAATGTAAAAACCCATTAATGGCTGATGATTGAAAGAATTGCTGATTTTGAAAACGCTTACTTTAACCTTTAGTTTTGCAGAATTTTTTCAGGACACTATTATCTTGTTAAAAAGACAAAAAATAAAAATGAAGGAAGGACTGATATGTCAGACAATATTATATCTTCATTCGTAAGTGTTAACATGAATAGAAAGCTGCAATGGTTTACTCTTAAATCACTGTGTCCAGCACACACACAAAAAAGCACAGAGCAAATGATCTGCAACTGCAACAGTCCTGATTTGTTTGATCCTGTGTTATTGAATCCGTGGACTTCCCTTGTCTCTTTTCCCTCTGATTTAGTTGAGCTGTCTCTTGTTCTCCCTAGCTGTGAGAGTGAGAAACAGTTGCCACTACCAATGGGATAGTACTCATGATCCTTGGTTTGCACCCACCATTCTGCTCAGTTTTCAGTTCGATAATTTTCAGTTTGACATTGTTGTAGTTTTCAGTTTGGATATACTGTTACTTAGGTTATGTTCTCATTTTGGTCTATTGATTTTGATCTTGTTAGGTTTTTAGTTTTTCCTGTCCTCCTATATTTCCATGCCTAGCCCGTGTTTCTGTGTTACCTCCTGTGTTTAGTCAGTTCTGTCTTTGTGGTTTACTTTTGCCTATTAAGTTCATGTGTCTTGTGTCTGTGAAGGTTCTCAGTCATCCAGGCCGCTGTAGTCTAAGGAGCTTTTCTTGAAGGTGAAACATCTTCAAGAAACTTAAAGAAGTCCAGACGCTTTTCTTTCCACGCTCTTTGGCTTTATGTGTCTTAGTTTCAGTCTCATCATATTCAGTTTTGCTTCTCCTGTCTCGTCTGTCTGTGATTATGTCCAGCTGTGCTCCCCAGACGGTGGAGGATGGTGGTGGATTCGAACTGTGTTTTCTTCTGCTTGCTTGTGCTGTAAATGTGCAGTGTTCAATCTTGTGTTTTACAGATTTAATTGGTCTTCTGTGTGAGATTGTGTGTGTACCGATTTAGAAAGAGACAGAAGAGTATTGTATATCTCCCTGACACGTTTCCTGGTGTCAGAGTGTTACTACTGTACAATCTATCACAGACTGAGCACATGGTTAGACTTTTTTCTTTTAAAGGAAAAGGTAGCAATGTGCACATTTGCTGTCAAGATAGAAACTGTAGCAGCAACCTGAGACAAAGATGGATGAGATCTAATCTGCCAGGTTTCAGTGCAAAGCAACTGAAGCAAGAAATAAAGAAATTAAGAGACAAGACAGGAGAGAAAGATTGGTACATGTGCCTAAAATATTTTGTTGGGATTTAGGCTTTCTCATATGTAGTTTATTAATGTGTGTGTGTGTGTGTGTCTGACAATTTGCTGACTACTTGCTCTATTTCTGTGCTTATCATCCATGGCTATTGGTGCTTTCACATTTTGTCTGACACTGTAATAACTAGAGTGGAAAGCACAATTTAACTGTAGACATGAATAGATTGCTAAACATAGATGTTGGCTTAGTGGGGTCCGTGAGAGCACACACACTTTTACACAAACACACACACACACGGTGGTTGCGTAATATGGCACGACACTTTTGTATATATTATGCATAAGCCTTTTCTGAGGGCGCAGGGAAGACGCACACAGTGTGTC